AGGAGGACGGGGGGAGGAGGACGGAGGAGGAGGACCGCCTGCAGGTGAAACTACAATGCAGGGGGGGAGGGGGGGGGGGCATTTTGAGTGAAGTCGCGAAGCGACCCAGTGCTGTCCCAAGACTGCACAGGCAATCCCCAATACGTTCCAATCAGACCCTAAGAGGGCCTCCAGCATTGCGTCGAGACGGACTCTCGAATGTCAGGGCGGCGTCGATTAAGCCGTGCCGCGCTCAGGACATCGCCCGGATTACGTCTGTTTGGTTGTGTATACATATACATGTATAAATGTACATCTATGTATGTATGTATATCATGTCAGCGGCGCATGCGTTGGGTGTCGCGTGCGCCCCGCAATCGAGGATATTGCGGGTTGTGCGTGCTTGTCTTCGCGCGACTGATCGCGCGGTCTCTTCAGAAACCAGTGCGCCGCCCGGGGTTATATTCCATTCGTCCATTATTGCCGCCGTGGCGTTATAAGGGGGTGCCTCGCTGCTTTCTTGCGCCTGGCCTCTGCCTCCTGCGTTGCGACCCTGCCCCCGCTCGCGCGCGCCAGCAACATCCCGCCGTCGGCCGCCGGTGCATCGCGCGGAAGATTTGTTTTTTAGCGGCGTTTCCGCGCGCGCGCCGCGCTCGGGCCCGAGCTGCGCGCATGCCGCCGCGCCCGCCTCGAGCGGCCCAATCGGGCGTGCGCGCCGTGCTAGAGCCTCGTTTGGCCGCCCGGGCAGCGCGCGAGAGCGCGCGCGAGAGCGCCAACATTGCAGCCTCCAGCCGCCATGCGCACTTCCCCGTGCGATGTGCGCCGTTGTCGTGGCGACGGTGGCCCCCGACTCAGGGCCGCGCGCAATGCTGTCCTCGCAGACTGCAGCGCAGGCGCGAAAACGCGACGCAACACCGCGCGGTCATCGAAACATCACGCATCCATGTCGGGAACCATTCGGGCACAGTTCGGGCGCCATAACCTACTTGGGCCCGTTCGCCCACGATGCGAGCGCGCACTGCAGCCCATTGCTGCGTCGCGCGGAATTTCGAGAGAGGGAGTTTTGGACGCCTTTTTGCGAGTTTCTTTCCCGCGGGTTTCGGGGGCCCTCTCGGGGGGCCCGACAGGGCCCGCCCCACGGGTGCCAGATTGGAGCGTCGAGGGTGCACCTGGCACTCCGAAGCGCGCACCGCTTTTATTGAACAGCAAACGGCGCGCCAGCATTGCGCGAAAGCAGATTCGCCCCGGTGAATTGAAGAGAAAGGATTGGTTCGAGGGATGAAGGTGGAGGAGGACTTCATCCAGCCAGCGGGGCAAAGAGGGATTGGTTCGAGGGGCGAAATCGGATCTGAAAGTGATGCGCGGCTGGGCTGGACAGACGGTTATGGGCGAGTTTGTTCCGATTTGTCAAGTCGTTCTGGCATCCCATGCACGCAAGGGCTATGCTGACAAAGAAGTGCTCCTTGAAGTGAAAGACATGTCGATGACATGGTAGAAGACGTTCGAGAGACGGTCAATGTGGGAGTCGAGCAAAGTTGCTAGTTTTGAAACAGCTTTGGCGCTTGGAAGAGTATGGGCCGCACTCGCATTCTACGTTGTTTCTCCGCCTTGTCCCGGCGTGCTGACCGGAATCTTGAACAGTGCGATGCGTTCGCTTCACTCCAGCGGATGGTGGGGGGGCCGTTGCAGCGAAGCGCGCCGCCATTTGATTGCAGAGGCCACGCAGCAAGTCGGCATGGAGGCTGTTGGTTCGTCGGAGGCGCAACTGATCACGAGGGCGCTATCAGCGCGGCGGGGGCGGGCGAAGCGAAGCAAAAGCTCGTGGGCTCGGTGGCCGCGGGATGATCTTGCCCCGGGAATCAGCGTTTCCCGTCGGCTCTGGCGCTGCTCCCTCAGACGGCTTCGCCCCTGCTGGCACCCGCCGCAGCCGCAGGATCTTGGCCAGACAGACCAATGCGGATGAGTTTGCCTTCGGCCACGCGGCCGAGGAGGTGCCCGACGCTTTGGCAGACGACATGGTGGATAATTTCAAGAAGCTCCTTGACGAAGGTTTAATTCGTTACGGAGCGGTGGCCTCGCAGCCAGACCACGCATATCCTTGTGCGTGGGCGGAGGGCGCGCGCGCACACGCTGCCCAACCCTTCGGGCATCGCGATCTGGAAGCTTTCGATCTCTTCATCGTCTGCAGCGTTGAGTTGTTTTTCCTGGCCCCGCAGGGCCAGGCTCAGCGGCAAGCGCACAGCGCTCCTTCTCATGGGGCATTATAGCGTCCGCCATGGCATCGCTGCGGACTCTGCTAAGAGGCGACGCCTGCTGCAGTGAATAGTCCTAGATGATGTGCCGCTTGCTCCCCGCAGTGCGACCAGAGACCTCCATGGAGATCTTCGGCTGCGCGCCGAGTTGCGTTTGTCCCAACCGTCCAGTGGACTCCGTTCCTCGTTTTGAAAAACAGCGCCCCGCGTTCACTCCTCACTCCTCCTCCCCCTCCTCCCTCCTTCAGTCACTGCCGCTGCTCTTCGCATGTTTTTGCTCCGGCGCACCCCTCGCGCGCTTCGTGGCGCAATATGGAACCCCACCGAAGGCCCCAGTGGCAGGGTTCGCATGCGGCTCCCCGCCCACCGCCTGTCCAATTCGCCTCACGCCTCACGCGTTTCGTTGCCCCATGGGGAGCTCCACCGACGGCGCCGGCGGCAGGGTTCCCACGCGGCCCCTCGCCCACCGCATGTCCATGTCGGCACAGCCCCATGCGTTCCGCCCCCACCCCCCCCTCCTCCTCCTCCTCCTCCTCCTCCTCCTCCTCCTCCTCCTCCTCCTCCTCCTCCTCCTCCTCATCCTCATCCTCATCCTCATCCTCATCCTCATCCTCCTCCACCACCTTCTCCTCCTCCTCCTCCTCCTCCTCCTCCTCCTCCTCCTCCTCCTCCTCCTCCCGCTCGTCGCGGGGGCTCCGCAGCGCGCGGCGTCCAAAACCGCGGTCGCCGGGGCGCAAGGGCATAATTAAGGGGAAACCGACGAGAGAAGGAGACGGATGCATAACGGCAGGTCCCCCCGGGCCTGGGCCACCCCCGGCCACGCGGAGGGGAACGCAACCCCGCGCACGGGAATCAGTGAGGAGGAACGGAAGCTGGGAAGGAAGTGGGCACGAAGTGGCGGCGCACGGGGCTGGCGCCAAACAGCACACTCCGCGCGAACGCCGAGGTGTGTTTTGTCTCCATGGCGACGCCACGGTTTTTGTTGCTGCCCCCTCTGCTCCTTTTCACTGCCCCGCGATGGTCGTAATTGCTCCTGGTTGGGTCCCTGGACAGGGTAGTGGTTTGTGTGTTGTGGTTGTTGCCTGCCGCTGTTTCTTCAATTCTCAAGGTGTGCCACCTTCCGCATGTCGGTCTTGTCCCGCGCCGACTCGCAAAGCATCTTGCATTGCCCGTTTGTTTTATGTATTCCAGAGTTTTGTTAATATGATGCCGTGCGCATGTCGCCTCCTCACGTTGCAGGTGTTCCAGCGGCCTGCTCTTCCCTGGTTTGACCAACACTCGGGGTTTACATTCAGATAACTTGGTGTTGCTGGGTTGTGCCCAGCAAACTTGTACGATTGGTTTTAATAGCTAGGTGTATATAATTAAGTTACTATTGTTCTGTGCATCGTAAGTGTTCCAGGGACTATATTCGCATTATTCGTATCGAGTTGAACAGGACGGATATCAATTATTTTCATGTATATTTCTTCGAATATAGATCAACCAGGCGAACCAATTCCTCGCGCATTGACCGATTTGTTTCAGAGCTGCCACCGCAAAGCGCCATTCATTACATTCGAAAGTTATGTGTGTTTTCGTTCATTCTGACCTGATCGTAAGTAGGAAGCTTCAGTTTTCCGTGCAATCAACTACGTACTATGTGACATTCGTCTTATTTGCTGTGTTGGGAAAAGTGTTGTTCACGTGTTTGTTCTTAGCGTGGATCGAGACTTCGAAGTGTTATTGATGATGTGTTGCTTGTTTTCCCTGGTCGTGTCTGTCACGTCTGAGCTTGCGTTCGCATTGCCGTTCGGCGTTGAGACACACGCGATATAGTTTGACTAGAGGATAATATCGAGTAAACTCAGTGTTGGGCTATCGTGTCCAAACATGTTCGTGCAACTTATTAACCTTGATCTAATCCATTGTCTTGATTTGTCGGCAAACATGACATTGTAACGTTCGGTTCACTCGGTTCGGTTTGGTCCTGCGCGCAAAGTTTGAGCCCCGGGGCCCGCTATCGGGTCTGCAAGTTCATCAGCAACGGATCCGTGGCGAAAGATTGTCCCCAGGGAAGGCCTCGGGGACTCTGGGGCTACGGATTTCAAATATCATGTCCGGGCTCGTCGCCCTCGCCGTCGTCGTCGGTCTGTCGGCCTCCTCTTCCTCCTGTTCGCCGCGTGGTAGCAGGCAGTGCCAAACTCTGTCAGTTTTGATTGAGTTTTCGCTAGATGCGATTCGATCTCGCCCCATGCTTCTATCAGCCTTCTTCGTTCGTCGTCGTGCCCCCTGGCCGTGCCGCTCTTCCTGTCCCTGCTGCTGCTGCTGCTGCGTGCTTCTGCTGTGCCTCCCGCTCCTGCTTGCTGCTCCTGCTGCTGCCTGCTACCGCAGTCCTTTGCGTCGGCCTGCTTCTTCTCTCCTTCCCCCTCCCTTGAACGACAAAAATTGCAACATCGTGATTCATCCGACCACGGCCCCAGACCCGATCTGTCCGTTACCTTCTTCGAGCGAGATCGATCTGAGCCCCGTGGTCTCAAACCCGGCGACACGGCCTGCTGTCAAAGAAAGCAACGCCCGGATCTTCGGGTCCGCCCCCTCCCTCTCCTCCGCCGCTGCTGGGAAAGGCTGCCGAAGGCCTCCGATGGCCTCTGAGGACCGCCGAGGGCAGCCCCGGGCCGCCGAAGGCCGCCGATGGCCTCCGAGGGCCGCGGCGGGCCGGCGAGGGCCGCCGCCGGCCGCCGCGGGCCGCCGCGGGCGGACCGCGCGCGCGCGGGCCGTGCCCCGCAGGCCCCCGCCGAGGCCGCCAGCGTCTTCGAGCCGGGGCCTCGGGCGGCGCCGGAAGGGTCAGTGCTCGCACGGGGGGTGGACGGAGGGGCAACGATAGGAGGGGATAATTAGGCATACGGGGGGGTGCATCTACCCCCAATCGCCCATGGATCGCCGACAGGGGCCCGACAGCCCCACCCCGCCCAGGAAGGTGCGGACTCATTATCGGGCGTCTATCGCCGATCTATCCGCGATGTATCGCCGATTCCAGGTCGATGCATCCTCGCTATGCCTATCCCCCCCCTATCGTTGCCCCTCATGGACGGAGGGAGTCGACTACGCGCAAGAGTGACCTTTCGCTGGAGTGACCTCTGGTGCGGGCTCATCGGGGTCCGCCCGATCGCTGAGCGCGGCGCTATAGCGGCTGATTTCTTCTTTGGATCCGGCCATCTTGCGCCCCCTTCGTCCGCGCACCCGAGGTCACTCTTGCCTAGGGTCACGCGTGTAGCCGAGGGAGGGGGGAGGATGGAGGAGTCAGAGGAGGAAGAGGATGCTGTGAATCCAGGATTGCCGACGCCGCTTCTCGCCCCTCGTTTTGGCCTTCTTTATGGGCCTGCCTGGCGGAGGGGGGGTGGTTCTCGAGGGATGGATGGAGGCTGGTGGTTGGACGCAGATATGAGCAGATCGGGGAAACGTAAGACTCGAGTGAGCCGGAACTCGGGTTTGCCGACTTTTCGTTTTTACGAGCGCGTCCTGGATTTTGACGGCCCCGTTTTCGTGGGATGTCCGCAGCGGGAGCCCGCGCCAAATTGCAGATTGGGCCTCGTCATTTCTATGATGGCCCCCGTCAGGCCAACCCGAGTCCCCCCGTACCCGAGTCATACGCCTCCCCTAGCAGAGTGCTGAATCCTTGTCAGCTGAGGGCAGGACGCCCAGACCTCCGACGATGTGCGTTGCTGAAGTGCCCGTGTGTTTCCCAGATTGTGGCCTCTGCAGCCCGCTGTCGTCGGGTCCCAGGGCATTCAAGAACGGATCCAGGGCGAACCCGCTGGCAGAGGGCATCGCAAACCAGGTCTCGGAACGTTCCAGCTGGGCAGATCGAGCAGTGGCGAAGCGTCCTGGCTCGCCTATAGGCCACCAAAGAGTTTTCTAAGAACCGCTTGTGGTCTGCACGAACTATTCCTAGAACCTTTCTGGCTGAGTCTGGCTTGTTTTCACGAATCGGGCTCAAGTTCTGAGAACATGTCGTGGTTGGCCTATGGCGATGCGGGGACGGCCGATCACTGCGCAAGCAGAACGAAGTCGACTGCCCCTAAGCGCGACCTTTCGCTGGAGTGACTTTTGGTGCGGGTGCACGGGGGGGTCCCCAGATGGCTGAATGCGGTGCGATAGCAGCGGCTGGCGCGCTCGGGCTCGCTCCCACCGCGCCCTCAGGAAATTGCGCACCAAAGGTCACTTTTGCTTATGGTCACTCTTGCGTGTAGCCGACGAGGGCCGAATCTTAACAGCAACTGGATGCACATACTTTCTTGGAGGTCAGCGCGGATTTCTTGGATCGGCGCTGGGGCCCAAAAGGGCCCCGACGGCGGAGCGCGCGCGCGCGTATCGGCGGCCCACGCCGCCGTCCACGTCGACGAGAGCCACGGCGAAGATAATGACATATTCGGGTTGACCCAAAAGGGGGTCCAGCGACAAGGGGGTGATGCAATAGACTTGGTGCAATATATTTGTGGGGTTGCAATACATTTGGGGCGTGCAGTACAATCCGGGGCGCACATGTATTGCCGGATTTTCGCGTGCATTGCATTACTTGCAATACAGTGCAATCCAATTCTCCTGCGCCATACATTTGCAAATGCATACATTCTCCTGCGCATGCATTTGCAAATATATCGGCAATATCTGGGACTTGGCAACATTTTGAAGATGAGTACGTTCAAAGCATCTGGCGTTAATCCGTTTATCTGTCGCCGTCATCGATCTATCTTCATCATCTTGCGGGGAGCGTTTGGCTTCTTCGCAGCAGCGTTTGGCTGCATGTGATTGCCTCGCACCTGATCAGCTATCCGGCCTCCCCGGAGGCCAGCGCGTTTGGAGCGCCTGCCGCCCTTGTAGGGTCGCCGGACTCCCGGCGTCGGCAGCTTCGTTCGTTCGTTCATCTTCCCAGACCTATTGCGCCACCCCCTTTCAGCTGGACTCCCTTTTGGGTCACCCAGACATTCGCCAGTGCCCACGACAACGACTATCGTGGTCGGCCAGTGTGCAGGTTTTTGAAAATTTTCGTGTGCCTTTTTGGGGCCTCCTGGGGCTTCCCCGCTGCCACGGATACCCTGGTTCTCCGCTTCCCCCTCCTTTGGGGGCCTCCTGGGGATTCCTCGATGGCAATTCATGGGAGCCTTTCATACCCATTTGTCGGCTCTTGGGAATCGACGCTAATCGACGCTAGTCGACGCTAAATCGTCGCTAAGTCATCGACGCTAACTGGCGCTGAATCGGCGCTATCTCATCGACTCCCAGACGCTAATTGGCGCTGCTCGACGCTCAAGACGGAATTTAGGGGGCAGCCCAGGCTCCCATGCGCAGCTACCGAGGGACTCCTCTTTGGAATTCTGGCCAGGAGGTTCCTCTGGATGGGTCTGGGGGCCGAATTTCGCTGGGGGCCCCCCAGCTCGGTCGCGGCAATGCTGTCGCGTCCGAGCGTTACGAAAAGGAGTTTTGATCCTGTTCGAACGTGCGTCTACGAAGGCAAACATCATGTGTGCAAAATGCCTTTTTCTGTTTTTCCCAACGCCCCCTTTTCCGCGCCTCCGCGCAGGCCTCTAGAGTATGACCCCTGGGCGTTTCCAACAGGGGGGCGAGACGCCGGCGACGGCGCGTGCCCTCTGGTCGGCACGGCGGGACGCATCTCGGGCAGCTTGCCTCTCGGCCCTCCTGGAGGGTCCGGTCTCCGATCTCGCGGGCGCTCGGTCGCGGGGGGGGGGGCGGTGAGCTTACGTCGGGCGTGTCTTTCCACCAGGGGGAGAGGCAAGAGGCGTAATAAAAAGAGTCTGGGAACGATGTTTCGTGATCTTTTGTGTGCGTGTGTGATTCGTTCTTGGCATCGCTCGGACGTGTGCATTTTTCTTTTGGCGAGGACCATCGAGGAGCATCCTTGATCGTTTGGCGAAAAAAAAACACGCACGAAACAGAAAAAAACACAGGGAGTGGACGTCCGAGCGATGGCCAGCGTTTAAATCTATGTTTCATTGTTTTGTGCCTCCCAAACCTGCAGGGGCGGCGCCGTAGGCGCCGCCATGGGGAGCCCAGCGCAGATCCAAGAGAGCCGCGCGGACCTCCGAAAGTTTCTGCTCATACCGTCTTTGGTTCGTGGATCGATGTGGGGCCTGATTTCCTCCGCGCCGTCGGCGCCGATGCAGCACCGATGCATCCCCGATGCACTGCCGCTGCGTCGGCGGTGCATCGGCGATGCGGCACGATCCTGCGGCCCAGTCCTGTCCGGGCCCCCATTCGGTAGGCCTCTCCGGTTTCTCCGAGCCCGCAGAGCGGGAGGCACGGCGGTCCCACAGGGGGAAGCTTGCACGAAGATGGGGTACCACGCAAGTGCACAAGGACGCTTCGCAGTTGCCAGTTCTGGGCACTACAGGCGGCCGGGATTAGTAGGTCGACCCTGCCAGCTCACGGGTACCCTTGTGTCCTGTGCCTCGCGACACGTGCCTTCTTACACTCCTATGGCGATGTAGCCCTCGGAAGGGTCTTGTGTCCTCTCGCGTGTCCTGTCCAATCAATGCCGACTGTACGCAAGGACGCTCCGCAGCTGCACGTCGGCGAACCTATTCCGACAAGGCAGGTTGCGGTCGGCCGGTCGGCCAGCCAGGACGGGTAAGTAGGAAGTTCCTTGCCAGTCGTTCGGGAGACACCGCTGATTGGGGCATTGCTGAGCCAGCAGAGCGGGTTGTCACGGCGGGCCCTCGGGGGGAAGCTTGCACGCAGATTTTGCAGTCAGTGGGTGTTAGGGATATTTCCTCGACGAGGGTCGGTACCAATCTCTTCGGGGCATGGTGGCGCCCCGTGGTGCCCTGAATTTGAGCTCCCCCCCTCTTTGCGGGGACGACCCGACGGCGCAGTAGGAGCGGCGAGCGGCAGCGCGTCGCGCAGAACTAGGGAAGCACTGCTTCTCTGCTGCGTTTGGGTGTGGGACGAGGGTGTGCGCTCGCGTGTGTGCGTGTGTGTGTGTGTGTGTGTGTGTGTGTGGGTGTGTGTGTGTGTGTGCGTGCGTATGTGTGTGTGTGTGTGTTTGCGTGCGTGCGTGCTTGCGTGCGTGTGTGTGTGTCTGTTGTGTCTGTTGTGTCTGTTGTGTCTGTGTGTGTTGTGTCTGTGTGTCTGTGTGTGTCTGTTGTGTCTGTGTGTGTCTGTTGTGTATGTGTGTGTGTGCGTGCGCGCTTCGCCCGATGCTCGTGGCTAACTCGCCATCTCGGTTCATCCAGAGGTGTTATGTTAGGCACACCAGGGCGGGTGAAACATGTCTGGCCGCGTGTGACACTTTAAAGAGGCAAGTGTCCATGTAAACATATACATGTATATACATAGTAGGAGGTTGGGGGGTGAGTCCGACGTGAAGCTGAGACCCCCCTTATCGGGAAATCGATTTCGGTTTCGAGATCGTGTCGTGCGTGCCGTGCATGCGCGCGTGCAGGCGAGGCGAAGCTGCGTGGGCGGGCGAGAGGAAATCGTCCTGTGGCTGGGACGCGGCCAGACCAACTGATTCTCCTCCGGCGGCCAGTGGCGCGCGGTGTCCCGCCAGTGTCCCGCTGGTGTCCCGAAGTCCTCCTGTGGCTGGGCCGCGGCCAGACCAAATGATTCTCCTCAGGCGGCCGGTGACGCGCGGTGTCCCGCCGATGTCCCGCTGGTGTCCCACGTTCGACCACGTCGACTAGCGCTGAGGTGAGGTTCGCGCGATTGATAAGCGCACGCGGGGACAGTGCTTCACGACAATGTCGAGTGCGCTTCGCCAACATCGCCACACAGGCATCGTCAGAACAATCATCACCACTTTTGCCCATTGCTAATTACCCTCCCAAAAAGACCTCGTTATCACCCGCAGGGTGGTCGTATAGGTGTACATATATGTGTATGTATATGTATGCTTCTACTTGTAGACGCAACTACAGGAAGCTAGAAATAGAGGGAGAGAGAGAGAGAGAGATAAAAATATCGAGAGAGAGAGAGAGAGCAGAAAGAGAGAGAGAGAGAGAAAAGGAGAGATAAAGAGAGATAACGAGAGAGAGAGAGAGACAGACAGACAGACATAATATATATATATATAGAGAGAGAGAGAGAGAAAGAGGGACAGTCAACCAAGAAACAGCGAAACCAGAAAGAGAGAGAGGGGCTGGGAAGTGTGAGCGAGGGAAACAGAGAGAGAAGGAGGGATATATAGAGAGAGAGAGAACGAGAGAGAGAGAGAGAGAGACAGAGAGACATAACGATACAGAGAGAGAGAGAGAAGGAGTGTCAGAGAGAGACACAGAGGAGGGGGCGGCGGAACGGGCAGGAGGCGGAGTCCGCGGTGGCGACGCCCGCGGCCACCGGCTGCCTCGGCCCCTCCTCGTGCTCTGCATGAGCCGTGGAAGGTCCGCGTGCAGCGTGCGGCGGGGGTTGCGAACGGCGGGCAGCGCGTGCCGAGGAGGCGCGGTGCAGCACGTCGGTGCCCCGTCGCGTGCGCACGGCGCGCGTGCGCGCCGCGCGCATCGGCGCCGCCGCCGAGGGTGGCGCCGCCGCCCCCGCCGCCGGACCGCTTCGGCAGGGAGGCGCGCCGTGCGCGCTTCCGCCCCTCGCGTGCAGGATGCCCCGCCTGGGGCGGGGGAGGAGGAGGAGGAGGAGGAGGAGGAGGAGGAGGAGGAGGAGGAGGAGGAGGAGGAGGAGGAGGAGGAGGAGGCGGAGGGAGGCGGAGGCGGCGGCGGAGGAGGAGGAGGAGGAGGAGGAGGAGGAGGAGGAGGAGGAGGAGGAGGAGGAGGAGGAGGAGGAGGAGGAGGAGGAGGACGAGGAGGAGGAGGAGGAGAGGAGGAGGAGAGGGGGGATTCGGAGGAAGATGAGGCGGAGGAGGAGGGGTGGAGGAGGAGGAGGAGGAGGAGGAGGAGGAGGAGGAGGAGGAGGAGGGGGAGGAGTAGAAGGAGGAGGGGGGGGACTAGGAGGAGCAGGAGTAGGAGGAGGAGAAGGAAGGGGTGCAGGAGGGGAAGGGCCAGGGGGGTGGGTGAGGAGGATCGGGAGAAGGAGGAGGGGCAGGGGAGTGTAGGAGGAGGCGGAGGAGGAGGAGGAGGAGGAGGGGAAGAACGGGGATGAGGGGTTGGCAGGATGAAGGGAAGGAGGAGGAGGAGGAGGAGGAGGAAGAAGAAGAAGAGGAGGTAGTTTTCTTGTCGCCACGGCCGGACGCCGCTTTGATCAATTGTCAGGATGGACCCTGGGAGGGGTCTGGGGATTTGTTTGACGCACGACGGCGGCGACGGGGGGGATTGGGGGCGTTTGGCGCCGCGTCGAGCACGTATTCCTGAGCGCACGTTCATTCTGCAGGCGGCAGCTGTGGGTTGGTGCCTTCGCGCCAGCAGCCTTCCTTCCCTAGGCTGTCGTCGACCGTATCTGGTGGTACGTGCAGAATGAGGAAGTCGGACCACGGGCATCGGCTTGGCACTTGCAAGCGGCACGCATTCTCAAAACATTGCGGGAACTCTTATTGCAGCTCCCAGTAAGTTAATTCACCCGGGCCTCCGTCTACGTTCCTGCACCTGCACGATCTGTGCTCATCTGTTTGTTTCGCAGGCTAAGCGCCGTAGAGTAGAGTAGAGAAGAACACGTCAAATTATCCTCTGGCCACGCAGGCTACGTTATGTCCCCACATGCCATAACCCCTGCAGGCGCGGACAGGTTCCCCCCCAGCATGCTTCAGACGGCCACATGGGATGGACAGCTTGTCTCTGGATGCGCGCCAGCCCCATGCCTGGATCACCTCCGTCCCGCGACCTGGTAGATTACTGCTCGTGCGTGTGGCGAAGATGCCCGTGCACGCCTCACGGGGCAACGCCAACGAAGGGCCCGCCGCGGCCGCGCGGACCTCTGCAGCCTCCTCCAGCGCTCCTGCGCAGCCTGCGGGCTGCCGCCGCCGTCTGGGCCCTGGCCCTGCGGCGACGTGCCCGCGGGGCTCCCGCGGAGGCCCTCCCCGGGCCCGCGCGGCCCCGCCTCCCAGCTGGGCCCCGCCGCCCCCGCCCCCTCAGTTGGCCAGGAGCAGCACGAGTTGCGCTCGGGGTGGCGCGCCGGCCTGCTCTGGCCCACTTCTTACCAGCCTGGAACATATCCCTATCCCTATGCTGGGCACCTCCTCATCACGATGCCAATCTTAGGGATTCCTTCATTTTTCAGGGCGAATCCCTAAGATTGTCATCGCCTTTTGGCGTGTCAATCTTAGGGTAGGGATACGTTCGAGGCTGGTAAACTGCGCCTCGGCGCGGCGCGCTGCGCACGTCCCCGTCCCCCAGCAGCAGCGTCCCGCACTCGTCCTGGCCTCCCGACCCGCGGAGCGGGCCGACACGCTGTTCGCTTGCATGGCATTAGAGTGTCGCCAGGGCTGCCGCCGCGGCACGCTGAGCAAAAGCTCCCGAGCGTGAACGCAACGGCGCTTGCACGCCCTCAGCCAACCAACACGTGTTCGACTCGAAATAGAATCGCTTCCACGGCTCCGTTGAGTAGAGTGCGCAAATGCACACCCGTATGCGTAGGCTGATGCCATGGCCCCGGAGAGAAGAATGAAGTAGAGCACCAGACAGAGCATCACAGGGTAAAGCAGAGTAGAGTAGAGCAGGGTGAGTCGAGCAGAACAGGGTCGAGCAGGACAATACTGTGTCTGCGCAGGCGTGTCCTATGCCGCCGCGGAGGAGAATAGGAATCCGATAGAGTAGAGTAGTAGGACAGAAAGGATCACAGTAGGGCGCGCTCGAGTAGAGCCGACCAGAGCAGCGTAGAGTAGCTTCTGGTAGGGAGACTAGACTAGAGACAGGTAGCCTGCACGCGTGTAGGTACGCGGAGTAGAGCATTGGGTTCATGTTACTTGGATTGTTGTCATGCACCTACTTGTGTTTCACAAGCTCTCATCTGAAACCAGCGCAGGCTCATATTTGTTCGTTGCTCCCTACGTGGATGGCGCCAGGTCATTGTCAGCCCTGCACTGGAGAAGCTGAAGCGGGCGAAGAAGGACAAGGCGAAGGCCAAAACAGATGTGGATCCGAAGGCGAGGCTGAAGCAGAAGGAGCGGCCGAAGGAGAAGGCCGCAGGCAAGGAGCAGGAGTCCGCCCCTCCCCAAGCGACCCGCCCGACTGGCCGAGGCACGTTCCAGCCGCGCGGCGCTGCGCTCTATGACAGCAGGCCGCGGCGCCCTGCCCCCGCGCGAGCGCCGGGTCCTGGCAGCGAGGCCCACGCTGGTGCCGGAAGGAGCCAGGAGCTCGTCGGGAGGTCCCGCTCCCGTTGCACCTTCGGCGCTCCTCCCTGGGATCCTGGCCCCAGCTGGGGCCAAGCAGGCGCTGTGGTCCTTCGAGGGCGGGGTTGGCCACCCCGACCCCCACAGCCGGCGCTTCCCAGACAGTCCCGTGCGTCTTCTTCGGACTCCTGCCCGGGTCGGCTCCGGCGCTCGGTGCGTTCACGGAAGGGCTTCGCCCTGTGTGGGTTGCAGAGTTATGAGGGTGGTTCTCCTGTCCTCGTGGCAGCACTCTGGGCCGACAAGGACCTGCGGAGCCCTCTCCCGCCCTCCTCCGTTCAGGCTCTCTCTCTCTACCTCCCCCCCCCCCCCTCCCCTGCCTCCCCCTTCCCTACCCGTCCATCCCCCCCTCCCCTCTGGCATTGCCCGCCCCCCCTCCCCCATACTGCCCTTTCCCATTCCCCCCACCCCCCTCCCCCCCCGGGCCGAATTCCATACCGCGGTTGGACGGGCGATTCCCCGCTTGGACGGGCTATTCCCCGGCAAAGGTGGGTCATTTCCCGGTTGGGGCCTCAACACTCCCGAAGGCACCAAACACCGAACACCAACTGCCAACCAATCACCACCAAACCCCCAACCCCAAACACCGAACACCAAACACCAAATACCAAACACCACCACCAAACTTCAAACACCAAATCACAAACGACAAACACTAAAAACCACCAAACACCAAACACCACACCAACACCAGATACCAAACACCAAACACCAAACCCCGAACCCCAAACGTCAGACCCCAAACCCCAATCATCAGACATCACACACCAAAACCCAACCACCACACCCCAACTGATCAAACACGAACACAATCAACCCCAAACAAATGACACCAAACACCAAATACCATGCTCCGAACACCTCACATCAAACACCGATTTTCCAATCACCAAACACCATACATACATCAAACACCATTCACCAAACACCCTCCACCAAACACCATGCACCATACACCAACACCCCACACCCAAACATCAAACGCCAGACCCAAAACCCAAAACACCAAACAACACGCCTCAAACGCGAAAGCCCCAAATCTCAAACCCAAAACACCAAACCCCAAACCCGAAACAGCAAACCCAAACCATCAAACACGACACCAACGGAGGCCAAACGATCTGCCTCAAGTGGAGACGTATCATACGACGACCCTGCATGGTGCAGAAGTGGCCGCGTGACTTGGCATGCTGACGGCTTCACCACTTGCTCATGCCCGGTTTTCGTTTGTTCTTTGGCTCTGTGGTGTTTCCACAGGTTGGGGTTGGACTTGGCTGCGGGGCGGAGGGAAACGCCCCCCGAGGAGGACGGCGCCCGTTTGATGAGCGGTGGGGTGGCCCGCCCAGTGGCCCGCCCAGGGCGGCATAGGGTTGTCGGCGACTGCTGCTCCGTGCAGCAGCCGGCGCCCTCCCAGGACATCGACGCGGCGGCCCCGCTTCCCCGCTCCGCGCCACGTGGGGGTGCCGAGAAGGGGGCGGGCGGCGCGGATCCGCCCGTTCTCCA